TTAAACATTTCTATGCCGCCCCATTCGCCGAAGCCTCGGGGCAGCTCACAACATAAAATAAAATACAAAAATAACAATATAAAAATAACAATATAAAATAAATAACAATATAAAAGAAGTTGCCCTGGCCAGATAAATAAGCAAATACTGTTAACAATTAACATGACGCTTAAATAAAAAAAAATAAAATTGAAATCCTGTAAGGGGGAGGACATGAACAGTGGGGCCTTACAACCCCATCCCCTGTCCCCAACAGCTTCCCTGCCTCGGAAAGGGGGGCTTCCTAAGAGGAGATCTTCTGTGCATGTAGTCTCCACCCATGTGACTTAGAACACCTGACTCCACACATGAGGAGCTTCCAAGCTTTCTCCTGCAGACAGTTGCTCCATCCAAAGTATGGAAGTCATCAAGGATGTGCCAGAAGGAGCAGAGGTGGCCACCATGGTCTTGCTAGCTCTGCTCTCATGTGGGGATGCATGAGAATTGCATTTTTTCAAACCAAACATGGGTCTCCCTTTTGAAGCAGCAGGAATGTGCACAGACATGCATCCACTGAAGATATTTTGAATACCTGCTTGTGTTCATCTTGTACCCAACTCCTGCAAATTTCCTAGTAGGCTAAACCATTCCTGAGTTAGCCTATGGAGGAGAAGTGTACAAATTTGGGGAGATTTGGGAAATGTTCGATTCAATTGCTGCTGTCCACAAAAAGTGCATGGATACTGAACAGGAGATGAGTTCATAGAATCCTGAAAATCTCGAACATCACTTGCTCATCCATCCCTACTGACTGAACAGTAAAAGCATGTGGCAGAATGCCTGAAAAACCAACCAGACAACCAGCCAACCAAAAAACCCTACATTTTCAAGCTAGGATTGGCTTTCCCAGGTAAGTACACTGTCCCTGACATTGTCTTTACCAAACTGTCAACCAGTTACTTGTGTACAAGTAAGATTTCATTTGTGCCACAGTCCCTCATGAGAGAACGAACACATTTTAAGTGAAAGTGGAATAGTTTATACACATCTTCCACCCACACATTCCAAAGTGCATTCAGACTTGGCAGCAACCCACCTGTATTGGGAATTCCCAAGCGTCCTCCCTGGTGACTAAATACACCGATAGCCCTCATCTCACTCTGTTTGGAGACTGATGAAAGATTCTGGATGTACGCAGCTTTGTTCTTTGCATGGATGGCATTGAAGGTTCTGTTACTGTCGTGTGGAAAGGTCCCAGAATGAGTTTTTCCATGGTATTCCGATCTTTCTGTCACTCCCAATGAAACCATAAATGAACTCTGAACTTTGACCTTAATGTCAGACAAAGGATTGAAGAGAGACGATTCTGTCATAAGCTCCTTGTCAATGGGGTCCTGAAGGCAAATGGGTCCACTGTAGGTCCTACTCACGGTCAGGTCAGGCTGCATGGATGAGTTCAAAAGCAAGGAGTTACCTGATGGAAGGAAATTAATCAGGCAATCGGTTACTATCGTGGGCTAGAAAGGAACTAGTGGATAAAGCTTTGCCTATAGAATTGCCTAGTTCTTCCTGAGGTTATCACCTGTTGTATGGATAATGCTACTTCAAAATTCAAGGGGACCCACCTAAATGAATGAACTTTATTCATTCAAGCCAATCAATGTATAAAGCATATGTTCACAGGTGCCAGGATTATTTATTTATTTATTTATTTATTTATTTATTTATTAAAACATTTTTATGCCGCCCCATTCGCCGAAGCCTCGGGGCGGCTTACAACAATATTAGCATTTCATCTATGCTTCTCTTAGCCTTGCTAGATTCCCATCTGAAGCAAATTATGGTTTTCATATACAGGAACAGTCTAAAGTGGTATAGCCAAGACAACAGTTAAACACCTCAATGAGAACTAGGACAATTAACAGTGAGTTTGACACTGCAATCATTTCATATTTACCCAGGAGTAAGTTCAAAGTGAACATTTTACTCACCTCTTGGTCCAGGAGACTGATCTGTCTCTCCTAAGGCTTAGTTAGTGCAACTAAAATTAGGCTAAAAGACAAGCATATTTTTGGATTCATCACATTTTCCCTTGCATCTCACCCTCTGCCAGATTGTGAGAGTTTCTCCGAAAGTGGATTCTGTCCTCCAGCTGAAAGAAGTTTCACATCCTGCTCTAAATGAATGACTAATTTTGGATCCATCAGTTAAAATCCGCCTGGCACCGTCGTTACTGGTTTTTCGGCGCCAGGTAAAGACCTTTTTATTTAAACATCATTTCAATTGTTAAAACATATGATCTGGCCAGGGCAACTTCTTCTTCCTTCTCTTTCTCCTCCTATATTTTTATTTTGTACTGATAATTTTAATTTTATATTTGCAAATCAATGTATTTTTTGTATTTTTGTATTTAATAGTAATTTATTATGTACTATTGTATTTCAATGTATTTTATCATGTTGTAAGCCGCCCCGAGGTTTCGGCAAGGGGCGGCATAGAAATGTTAATAATAACAATAATAATAATAATAATAATAATAATAATAATAATAATAACAACAACAACAACAAGCAAAAATGCCCCCTGTCCATTTATCAGATTGCTAGCCAAAACGTCTCTAGCAGAAAAAATAACACAGTTTGGCAGTGATGACACTTTCTGAAAATGCTTCATTGATTATAGCAATCCTTACTGCAGTCTGTAGTATCGTCATGTTGGAGAAGGGATTTTTGATGGAGAGAAAGTAGCTTGCCAAAAGAGCACTCAGGGAGTCACCGCTGATAAGACCAGACATCATCTAGTAACGCACTTTCCTCCAGGTTTTCTCACAGGCACTATTTCCTCTTTGTATACTTATTTTAATTGCCTGCTACATTTTTGTTCCATACATACAACCAATGCAATTGTTTGAAAACCCACACTGAATGACATGAGCACTCACCAACCTGCTTGTGAGATTGGTGGTCTTATGCAAGCAATGCAGCAGTGCTCTGGTCTCAGGCAGGACTGCAACTCCTCTTTGGTGAAGAGCAAAGAAAACAAAACATAAAGGCAGCTGGGCAAATTAATCTCTTATGAGTTTGTATGTCTGGTGCTCATACGTCTGCTTGTGGGAGCAGATCAATCGCATGAGGTTTCTTGGCACACTGATTGGTAAATATAAATGAGATAACAATAAGGTGTGTGAGGAATCTGATGTGTGTGTGGATGAGCAGGTGAAAACCCAATGACTTTTCATGCTCTTCTACCCCCTGCCCTCTGGCTTTCAGTTAATTGGCCCTGCACTGCTGCTAATGCACTTGGGTATATGTTGAGCCAGCTCCACTTCTGAGATGGACCGCAATTTGAGCATTTTTATACCAATGGAGTGAAAATTGAGCAAATAAGCATCCAAAAGCCATGCAACTCTATTGCAAATGGACCAATTTTACACAAATGGACTAGAGCTTCATGGTTTTAGGGTGCCTATTTGCATAAATTTCTTTAAAGATGAAAAAGAGTAACTGCAAAGCATGGTCCTTCATAGAGATGGAGGTCCCTGAAACCTCCTGGACTTAGTCTGCCTCTAACCATCTGATCAGAAGTGGGCGGGGAAACTTGAGCTCCAACAGGCCAGATTTCCATGATTTGATACATCACTATGGCTCAGACATCTGGCAAAACCGTTCCTCAAGCATTCCTGAACTTCCCTTCTGCCTCGAGCATGCTGATTTATCCCTGCCTAGTACCGCATGGGGCATCACAGTTGCTCTGTGTGCTGGAACAGGATCAATGACAATTTCCCAGTGAGCAAGTTGCCTTCCAAAATTATCCACCTCATTTGTGGGCAGAGAACTTGTAGGAAGGAGCAGACCACACCACATCGCTAATTTCCCACAAGGCAAAGGACACCACCCAACCTTTTCTTGGGGTGGGGTGAAGGTTAGCATTAGCAGTGTCAGTCAATAAGACAAATATTGCCGTTGAGAGTGCGTTTTGTGTCTCCTTCACACCCGCATGGCCACCCGCACCCCATTTTATCTAATTCTGTGCTCAGAAATGTGTAATACTAAGGAAAAAAGTATTTTTCCTTTCTCCCCTGCCTGCTGCCTTTCATGTTTCTTTCGCACTGGATGCTCACTAAGCACATTTGGATGGAGGGAAATTGGAACCTGTTGCGCTCCTAATATATCAGTAGCCTTGGGGGAATTGCATTTCCCAGTGCTCTTGATGTTTGACGTGCAGTGACAGCAGGGTGCCCAGAAGCAGAAAGGGAAGACAGGAGAAGACTTTCATGCTGTCAATGGAAGAAACAGGCAGAACACATCTGTTGGAGCAGGTGAGGGCCACACAGTGTTTCATATTTTCAAGGGCCTCATCCATGGGCGCGTCACCCAGCCTCTCCTCCAGAGGATTCACAAAGCACTCACTCAGCCAGCAAAGGGCTTCTCAGGGAGATCTGCCATTTATTTCCATGTATTGTCAACACCAGAACAGAAAGGTAGGAAAGAAGGTGGGTGGGTGGGGAGATGAAACCAAGCAGGTGGGTTGGTTATAGGTAAGATAAGGCTGTAGCACATGCCTGATGATATCACCAGGTGCATAGCGGGAACCAAATTGACCTGAGACATGGGCTTATGGTACAGTCAAGCTATTTTCTGAGCTTGGTTTTTATACACAGAATTGCTCCATCTAGCATGATAGTGTCCCCTGTATTGGTTATACATTTGCTTTCAACAGTCTCCTGATGAAGTAATAAATATAATTTTGCCGGCACTATTGTTGCAGAGGAAATGTGGGAATTTCCCTTACAGGGGGTTGACATGGGGAAAGAAATAGTTCATTAACGTTCATTAATATTGGCTTGAATTCCTTGAAGAAACTTTTTTTTTTTTTTGCTCTAGTGACCCTATCAACACTCACACATCCACAAACAGAGTTCCTGTTTTAAAAATACTTGTCTGTTTCTTTATCTGTACTTAATTTCTTCAGTTCCCATTTGGGCTGTCCTATTAGGATTAACCTGTGTTTTGTTTTGTTTTGATTAGGGTGCAATCCTATCCATGTTTGTATGGGGAAAAGTACTACAATCCCCAGGATGCTGCAACTATACTTAGGATTACACCCTTACTCTCCAGTTCTTCATCTTCTTCTTCTTTTAAGTACATTCAGGGAAAGGTTGCTAGAAATCTTATTATGGGATAGCTTTATTCTGGTGAATGCTGAACAAATTGGAGTCCTAGACTTTCCAAAGGGCTATTGATTTTTGTTGTTGTTCCAGTGCCTTCATTTTTCATTGTCTTAATTCTTAGGGGGGATTTTAAAAGAAAAGCTAACATTCAGGGTGTGCTCGAAGTTGGTCCTTAGGTCTTTGAGAATTTTTCAGGTAATTAAAAGTAACACAATTACTTGGCACCCACTGCAACTAAATCAGCTTCTACACACACACACACACGCGCGCGCGCGCGCGCACACACACACACACACACACAGAGAGAGAGAGAGAGAGAGAGAGAGAGAGACCTCATCAAATATCTTCCAAAAATTCCCAAAGCTGAACAGCATTTCCCAAACACTACTGAACAATTGTAGTATAGAAATTGTAGCTTCCCTCACATTGTACACAATCAATTCTCCTTCAAATGTAGTTCTGTTTTTAAACCCAGTGCTATCCTGAACCAAGCAAACTTTTAATCCATATTCACTGCTCAAACTGAACAGGTATAGCTGTTTTCAGAGCAGAGAGGTCTCCTGCTTTACCTGCCTGACATTTCAGATTAAAGATTAAAGCCAGCCATAGGGGGTGATATGACTAACAACTCTAATTCAGCACCACACATTTGCTTGAATATGCAGCGATTCAAACACCAAGGTATAAGAAATAAAAACTCAAAGACCTTGGCCTGGATGGATGAATTGATAAATAAAGTTTCTGTCTCTCCATGTGTTTCCCATGGTATATTAAACAAGAAACTTTTCAGTTCATCCTTTTTCTGATGTGTGTGAATGTGTATATGATTTTTGGTATGTACTTATCATAAAATGAGTCAAATTCTCATCAATTCTTTTTTCATGGTACAAATGGGCATGACAATGGACTGAAAACACTCTTTTTTCTCTTTCTTCTAGTTTGCATAATGGAAATTCTTGGAAATATGTAACATTGGAATCTCAGATGGTATCCTGCAAATGCAAATTCTGTAAGCATTCAGAGAAAATCATGATTCTTCCCTCCCTCCCTCCCTCCAAATCTACTTTCTGTCCAGGTACATACCTCAGGGACTCTCTCATCCCAGAACTGCACCTCCAGACCACCTAGAATGAGGATCCTATTCATATCCCTCAAAGTTACCCTCTAAAAGCAGAAGAAGTGAATCTCTGGATGCACATGGATTAAAAGGCTATGTTTTAGCTTGTAACCATGATGATTCAATTTGGATCAGCTATCCTTTAATCAATCTATCAGACTCAAAGTGTTGTAGAAAACTCACAAGC